GGGTATCGCCCAATGGAATATCTAGTTGCCTTGAACTCCGGAGTGGAGTCAAGCATTTTCCAACGCAGCCAGCCAGCCACTCCTTTCCAGCAGTTCTGACAAAGCAGAACACCATTCCACTTTGGTGTTTGCTGGTTTACCTGAGAAAACCTCTGATGATGACTATGGAACCTACTGGAAAGTCTTCTCTCCAAGGCAGACCACACTGGCTCAGACAGCACGTTTGTTTCAGTGCCATGGGGCTGTGCTGCTAAGAAAGCAACGCCCACAGCCATCTGGGGTGCTCCCAGCCCCCCTGCAATGCGGATTCTCAGCTTGGGTTTGTGTCTCACTGAACCTGCAGCACTTCAAGTGCAGTTATTTTAACTTCACAGGAAATGTTTAAAGGGGATAAGTACACTGCGGCACTTGAAATCCTGATGTAGGACTAATAGAGGTTAGACGGTGAATTTGAGTTTCTTCCTGTACAATGGTGCTTACTGCACACCAGGCTCTTCTCTAGGCATTTTGTAGATATTAACTCATTTAATCTCAAAACAACCCTAGGAGCCTGATGCTCCTGTGTACCTTGTTATCCCTCACCTTCATTTTAACAGATTATGATCACCTTTCCTTTTACACATCAGCAATCTGAGGCACAATAAGGCTAAATTACCTGGGCAAGGTCTCCTAGGCTTTGAACCCAGGCAGTCTGGTGACTGAGAATCCTCTGACAGCCACTACCTCTTTATACATGCACGTCAATGTGAAAGCTAAAATGAAGACATCCTGCCTACCTAACAGGGGATACACAGGCCTCCTGAGTTTTGGGACTGTTACCTATGGTCTTTGCAACCACAGAAGTGAGCAATAGTTGCTACCCCACAACATGGAAAGATTGAGGGCAATTTTCCCTCAAATATTATGCATTCATGCAAACACTCCTGGCTCCACGGGGCCTTAGTCACAGTGACACTTATGTGGTACCCAAGGGGAAAAAGCTCGGTAAGTATAATGGAAATCAATAATAATGTTTAGAGATTTTGTCATCATTGGCCATAAACTAGTTTTTATTGATTTTTTTCCCTGATAAAAAAATGTAATACATAGTCATCAGAAAAACTAATTCAGACATTAAACTATTAAAACATTAAAATTAAATATGCTGCTATGGTTTGTCCCAGAACTCATGAAGGAGTTTAATTCTCAAAATCATAGACTATTGGTATTAAGAAGATGGAAACTTAATCAGACAATGGTGTTTGGAGACAGGGCCTTTAGGTGAGGTCATTAGGGTGAAGCCCCCATGATTGATTCCTGGTGGCTTTATAGGAAGAGAGACAGATACCAGACACAGACATGCGTGCTCCCAGTGTCTTGCCATGTGATGCCATGTGCTACCTCAGGACTCTGCCAGCAAGAAGGCCAACACCAGAACTAAGCCAATGCCAGTACCACACAGTTGAACCTTCCAAAACTGAGTTAAACAAATCTCTTTTCCTTACAAAGTTAGCCTTCTTCAGGTAATTCACTATAGTAATGAAAAACTGACTAATACACAAACATGGTATTAGGACAGTGATTCACAATAAAGGAATTGAGAGAGGGTCCTAGGATTTCATACATTTTATAGGGACTTTATAGAAAACTCAAGGGCAGGTCTCTTATCTTCAGGTTTGATTTTTTTTCTGTCATATTCATTCCTCAAATCATACCCCATGGAAGGATCCAGTGAGTTCAATGAGAACTTTCTGGTACTGCTCTACCTGAAGTGGTAGAGATATCTCAAGATATCTTGCGGAAGACCTTGGGAAATTTCTGGCTTTGGTGCTCCTATCTGGGAAGTAGCTTCAACTGAACACATTCCCCCATGTTCACATTCACTGGGGGAGGGTAGTGTTACTGTCTCATTAGGTCATCAGGAGACTGCAACAATTCAAGAATATGAAATAGCTTTGCAAACTCTTTGCAGCAGGTTCAGGTCGGAGGGCAAGGTGTTAAATCCTTGCTGTTTGAATATTTGCCTTTCAGTGGGGAAGACTTGGCCAAAAGTAGAGAAAAGTGTATTTTTGAGGCCTAAAATCTTAAAAAGTAAGTGAAAGGCTCAAGCCAGATTTATTTATAAGCAGTTAAATAGTGGAAAGTGAACTTGCAGGCAGAGGGACATTTGGAATTCAAATGCTACCTACTCATCTCTCCTTAAAAGGAAGAAAGGAAGGAAGAAAATATACCTTGAAGAACAATATAATAATAATAAGAAGAAGAAAGCTTGGAGACAAAGGCATTTGTTGAGAAAATATTTGTTTTGTCTAATTTCTCTTGCTAGAATGAGCTCCTCTAGGGTGGGACTGGATCTTGTTTTTCTTTGTGGCTCATACCTCTTGTAAAGTATAAGTCACATCCTAAAAACTGTTTAGAACTAACCATATGGCACTCTATTCTTCTAGATCCTGACAGTGTAATACTGGAAATGGCATGAGTCAACCTCCTACATGTTAGATAAAGACCTGAGGGTCATCCTGGTTCAGTCAAGCATTCCCCCCTAACCTGTTACCACACCTCCTTCCCACCTGCAGCACTAGCTTAGATCAAGACTTCCATTTCACTTGTATTCACATGACCCTTGAGATTCATGCGCCTTTCTTGGGAGGCTGCCCCCTTGGTGTTCCCTTGAGCTTAAAAGTTCCTAGATAGTAAATTCACTGCTCTTTTTTTCTTTTTTTTTTTTGGTACTGGGGGTTGAATCCAGGGGTATTAGGTTCAATCCTCACTAACTTAGCTGCTTAGTGGTACTAAATTATACCCCCTTTTTATTTTTTATTTTGAGACAGGGTCTCAATAAGTCTCCCAGGCTGGCCTTGAACTTGTGATCCTCCTGCCTCAGTGTACAGAGTAGCTGGGATTACAGGCATGAGCCACTATGCCCAGCCAATTTCCCTTATAGTTTCTATACCATCATAAAAGCGTTTTGATCATCACCCAAATATAAATTTTCACCTCATCTGATAGATACAATAGCTTCCGGTCAAGCAAAATGTGTATCCAATATGGTGTTATACAGACTTTTCTCCTTCTTCCCTCCTCTTCTTTCCTTCTTGGTGAGGGAGGGAGAATATTTTCTCTGTTCCAAGTGAAGGTCTAGGTCTTTAGGCTGAAGAGGAGATGCACCTGGGCAAACTCATCTCAGGTTGCTAGAGAGGTCACTGGGTTTATTTCTCTCCTGCAGCGCCCCTACTCCCATGTTGACCATGGGCATGGGCTGTGTTGAATAGTATTTATGTGAATCAAGTGGATCTCAATTTGAAGTCATGAATTTCCATTTCTCCTTCCACAAATTTGTTTTTTTATTTATTTTTGTCTGAAAATGAAGTTTGGAAAAGTTGAACTCTGATTCAATTGCATAACATTCATTCTGTTTCCCAGCCATTTTTGCATCGTATCATTGACATGAACAGCAGCATTACAGAGGCTGTTTTTATTGTTATCACTATATATGGACATGATTTTATAAAATAAATCTGGCTGGGCACAGTGGCGCACGCCTGTAATTCCAGCTCCTCGGGAGACCGAGGCTGGAGGATCACGAGTTTGAGACCTGCCTTGGTAACTGAACAAGACCCTGTCTCAAAACAAAAAAAATAATAAGGGCCAGGGATGGAGCTCAGAGGCAGAGTGCCCTTGAGTTCAATTCTAGGTACCAATAAACAAAAAACTAACAAAATCTGGCCATCAATACTCTCTTGCTGCAAACCAAACTGCAGGAAAGAATGGCTCCTGGTACCAAGAAGACCACACAGACAAACTAGAAAGCAGAGGCAAAGAGCAGGCATTTTTATCTGCTTTGTTCTTGCTACCCCCAGGGCCTAGAACAGAAGTGGAATTGAGGTGCTATGAGGGAACAGGTTAAGGATGACAGGATGACATTTACACATGTATCTCTTGCATCTTTACCTAAAACTGATAAGACACATACTGGAATGACTTGAGAATCAGTCATGGAAGGGATGAATAGCCAGGGCAATTCAAGTGTTGAGTTAATGTTCTTATAACTGTACAACTAAACCGTCCACTAGTCATATACACCCTTCAAGACTCAGTTCCTTCATCTCTAAATGGAGATTATTATGCTTATTTGGCAGGATTATCGACCGGGCTCAGTGAAAAGTGTTGTAAAGCATATTAACTGACACAATAAATGTTAATGCCTTTTCCTCCTATGCTCTACTAGTTTCCTTAAAAATATGTCTGTGTGTGTCTGTGTGCGTGTGTGCGTGTATGTGTGCGCACATGTGTAGAAGTGCACAAGTGTAGAAGATGGAAGAAGCTAGAAGAAACAAGTTGTATAATTTGTTGTTCAGTGTTTCACAACCTCCCCACTCTGTCATTTTAGGCCAATAATTCTTGGCTCGGGGGACTGTCCTTTGCACTGTAGATTGTTTAGGACCAACCCTGCCCTCTATCCATCAGATTTCAATTACATCCCCTACTTGTGACCAGCAAGCATATCTCTAGATGTTGCTAAATGTTCCCTGGGAGAAAAAATTGCTCCCTATTAAGAATGACTGCTCTAGACCTATGGAATAACTACTTCGTATGTAAACAAGTTGCTCAGGTACTCTGTAGACATTGCCTATGGCTATATTAGGTTTAAATGAATATAAAGTCAGAGCTTATGCAGAAAAAGAAAAATAGCCAATATCAAATTAAAGTACATAGTCAACCCATAATTATTCATGAAGTGAGTAATGATGTAGATAATAAGAAAGTTATTTTAGTCATGTAATTTCTCTGCATTAGACCACTTTTCTAATTATGGTCGATTTAGGCTAGAAATATTAACAGTAATCAATTTCCTGAACACTTGCTGACAGATGACAGACAGATGGCAAGTGTGCATAGAGGGAGATCACTTGGGTTCTTAAATTTTCATGGACGCTCATAAAGTGGGTGCTTTAACCACAAGGGATTGACTGCATTGTCCATCAGCAAGCTTAAAAAGTAACAGCAACATTCATACTTACAGGTGAATTAAAGATTTTAGTCCCCGGAAGGTATGTCTTGAAATAGACTTGATGTTGTTGTTTTCTATGAATCTGCAATAGGTTACAAAATTTTTGGTCAGATAGCTACGGGAACTTGAGAGTTCTTGTCCTGCATCATCATGTGAGAGAACATTTTTTTTTTTTTACTTACAAATACTCTAGATGTGGAAGACCAATAAAAGCATCATCACTGATCACATCAAAGGAGTTCGATGTGAATAGCCTGCCCAGAAAAAGCACACAATGAAAAGAGTTTAACTGACAGATTGTCAATCTTTGCTGCTTTTATCTCCCAGAGAGAAATGAGTGGTGTTTGTACACAGAGAAACATCTAGATGTTTGTCTTCTACAGTTTTATTTATGCGGATAACCTTCACAGCTTTTCTTACTCTTAATTGTCTCCTCATCAAATGCTCATGGAAGGGGTGCTTTGTGTCCCACTCCTCACAACGACGACTGTCACTTGCCCTGGGTAACATATTGAGATACAAGCAGAGCAGGTATGACAACAGATGCAGCCAAGTCAACATTTTGCACATTTCCATCACAAAGACACTGAAAATCTTTTGCACTTGCTCTGTAAACCTTTGGAACTCTCTGATGGCTCAAAACAATGGTGGTTTGGTGTTTTAATCATAGGAAACTTAGAAAAATTAATGTCTATACTCAGCGATGCTGTGATATCTCATGGCAGCCAGGCCACTGACACTGAATTGATGAACAGCCTTATTTGAAAATAGGACAGGCTGAAAGTGGGAGAAGGGAGGCTTAGAAAAGTTAGACCATTTTATGATTAAATAGTTGGAAGAAACAATTTCACTTGAATGAATTTATTTGCAATTTTAAAATCCATGGGGATCTGGTTTGGAAATCACTGATGAAGAAGGACTTCAGTCCACTGACCCCACCCCTGAAGAACTTTTTTGGAAAGTTTGCTTTCAGTTTTCTGAACAAAGGGCTTTTAAGAGGTATGTTTTGGCCAAATAATAGGATTGTGCATTGCACAACATAACAATAATACAATGTATAATCATTACGCTGTTAGTAAACCTGGTGATATTTACTTTTGGATATTTAGGGATTAAAAATAAGTGTCACTAATTCATTAAGTGACTTCAACTCTGAGTTTGTTAACCAAAGGGGTTGAAATTAAGAGAGCTCACTTTCTGAACATTCATGAGTAATTTATCTAGGCATTAAATTATCTAAGCATCTAGCATTGCTTCAAAATAATCAGAGGAAAAGGACAGCAGGAAGTTAGAAATGAACTGGGCACATGTTTATCATTTTTGAAGCTGAAAGGTGGTCCATGGCATTTACTGCTCCCTCTGCTTCTATATGAACTTGAAATTTTCCATAAAGATGGGAAACAAAATGAAATGCTCACTTGCATTTCTTCCTAAACTGTCAATCCTGGGGTGGTGTTGGATTCTCTTCTAATCCCTTCTTCTGATGTCACAACTTTTATGCTCAAATAATTTGCTAGGTTCTGAAAAGTCAATATGAATCAATTGGATGTATATTGCAGCCTACAGTTATCAAACAAATCTGAAGGTTTAGTACCCATCACTACTTTGGTAATTGTCTCTTCTCAATTTATGGTTCTGAAAAACAACATGACTGATGTTCAGCCTTGCTCCAAAGTGAGCTAACATCTCAAGGCTTTCACAGCCTCCAGGTCTTTGTTGTGTCCCGTATAAGCAGCACCAGAGATGTGGACAATGGAACAAAGCAGAAGGAGGTCTAGGGAAGTGCCTTCCACACTCAGGGGTTTGCAAAGGGCCGGCTGTGTGGTTGACCAAAGATTTCATCATCGCCTGCCCCAAGTTGCCAGAATAAACAGCTTTCATCGCTCCTTTCCCCTTATGTTAAATTGGGTGAAAGACAGTGGGAAAGGATGTTAGTGGGCATAACTTGCCCACACATGTCAATGAAATAAAAGAGAGGATTTCCACTAGAATTTTTGTCTGCTTGTTCACTGCTTGTCCCTGGCACCTGTGATAGTGCCTGCCCATGGCAGATACTGAACAAATATTTGTGGAACAAAGAGGATTCCACTTTACATTAAATTCCGATCATTACTAGATTACTAGATTGAATGTTCTTTAGAGCGGGGACTTACCCTTATTTATTTTTGTGTCCCTAGCTCGGAGCACAGTTCCTGGTTGAAAAAATGTTTGTTGATCTAGATTTCAAACTAAAACCTCTGGCTTAAACTACAACTTTTTGCTAAAAAAAAAAAAAAAAGGAAAGAAGCCAGAAGACAACGAAGTTCATTGTTCATGATTGCAATTACATATAGAACAAAAACTAAAAAATTAAATTATGCTGGTAGAAGTCAAGACAGTGATTAAACTTGGAGGCCAGTTGTAACTGGAAGATCATCATTGGTGTCTTTGGGATAATGATAATGTTTCTTGATCTGGGTACTGGTTACAAATCATTGAGAAGTACACTTGTGATATATATATGCTTTTCTTTATGCAGATTATACTTTAATTAAAAAAATTCCTTGTAAAAGCTAAAAACAATCCCTCTGCTAAGATGAGAATCATAGTTCTTTAATTCTAAATTCAATGGTAGTTTCTATGGATAAGGATGTGTAAAATTATATAGGCATTCCAAATATAATTGAGTAAGCTATCCATTTTATTATCCTACACATACTTGAAAAGACTCATAATGTCATGTTCTATAAAGAGGATAAAATGCTAATCCTTAATTTTTTAATGGATTCCAGGAAATATGTTTGATTATGATTTGTAATTGAGACAGCTATGTTCAAGCATTGTAGTTCCTATTGAGTCCCACCTAGTACCTATCCCAGTCCCACCCCACATTCACATACAGCAGACCTGGGGCAGACCCAGGTGGCTGTATTCTTTATGATACAACCCCCATCCCTTCCAATGGATCAATAGGGCAAGAGAGCTCAGCTCTTCCACCTGAGTAGCCAATCCCTAGGTCAGGCGGTATCTCATGGCCCGCAGTGAGTTGAGCTAAGATGGTACCTTTCTTGGAGATGTGGAATAGCAAGCTAAAAATGGAGCCAACCTGCAGAGAAGCTGGAGGAGAAAGGATGCCTTAGGGCTCAGTTGGATCCACAGCAGGGAAGAGGTTCGGTCCAGGAACACTTCAAAGTGATCAGATGTGGAGGAGACCTCACAAAGGGAAATGTGTTGGTGGCAGGGAGATGCCTAGAACTGGATCAGATCCTAAGCCAGAGTTTCTTGTTCTCTGTTGCACTTGAAATCACCTGGAGAGCTTTAAAAATACTGGACACCTGATTCCCAGTTGCAAGGACTCTGGTTAAATTCTGCACCTGGAGTGTGGCCCAGGCTATTTAAAAGCTCCCCAGGTGACATATACAGCCAGGGTGCATATGGTAAGCTTTCCAGGTCACTTAAATACCTCCCCCGCTTTGCCTGTGGTGGCAGAGGAGGTAGGCTCCTTGCAGCAGTCTGACTGCAGCCGTTGCTGTGGGACATGGAGATGCTGCGGGTTTTCTTATTCCCTAACCACACAGAGCAAGAGTCTGCAATAACGCAGGTCTGATGGATTAACTATGTTCACAACAGCAGAGTCACAGAGGGGCTTGTAGGGACCAATGCATACTCTGAATGACCTTGTTCCCTAAGCAGAGATCAGAGATCTGGACCCAATAGATTTATCAAGAGACCTCCCATGTTTATGCAGAGATCAAGTAGAATTTGTCCTCTGCCTTGGTCCCATGGGAACATGTCAAGTCTCTGTCACTTCCTACTCTGGGAAGAAGCCAGGCATTTCCCCCTAGGGTGGAGGTAGACAGGGATGTGCTGTGACCTATCTGAATCTTCCGGCAAGGGCTATGCACTTTTAAATTCAGTAAAGAAAAGGGGCCGTGGGAGAATTGGGGAGGATTTTTGTGTTCTGCAACCATGTATGTTTCCTCATCAGGAGGGAAATTTAGAAAGACCGTATATATCAACTATCGATGCCAGGCTGGCACTAGCTCATCTTTAAATGATGGTTAGTGCCACCCAATAGCCTACATTTCATAGCCTCCTCCCTGGATGATCTCACTTGGGCTTTGGAACAATTCTGAAAGTGGCAGAGCCAGTGTTGGTATCTATTTGACAGGAGGCCACTACTAAGGGCTTTGCCAAGGTCAAGTGGCCCCAGGCCCCTAGTTCAGTACCCTCTTCACATAATGGGTGGCCTTTCAGCATAGGGCCCAGGTCACATAATGACATAATGTCTCCATGTGGTGAACAGCCACAACACTGTTCAGCTCATATAAATTCAAGACATACAATTAAATAATTATTTCTTTTTGAAAGAAATTAATCAATATGAGTAGTCCCAAAGTCACATGGAAGTCCCAAGTCACATCATATCAATCTATATTTTGTAAGTAAAATATTTAAAAACCTTGAATGCTGGTCGTGGAAGTTCTGGAAAATACAGAAAGGCTTAAATAGTAAAATAAAGAGTATCATTATCAACTACCCACAGGCACTTATACGCATATACATAAGACAGATAAAGTACATACATGGGGATATTTATAGAGGGTTTTTTTTTGTGTGTGTGATACTGGGGATGGAACTCAGGGGCTCATGCCTGTTAAGCAAGTGCTCTTTTACTAAGCTATGTCCCCTGTCCAAGTTGAGATAATTTTTAAAATATTATTTTGTGTCCTTTACATTTGCTAATTTTATCATTGAATAATGTCTCAATAATGGAGTTTTAACAGATATAGCTTTAGTAATTTTGGATTTTAATACATCATGATTTAACTTTCTTATTGCTGATTCCAGCCTTCACTATCATAAACACTACCATAATCATCCTCATATAAAAATACTTTTCCTATCTCTATTTCCTTAGGATAAACCCAAGATAGATTCTAAAAGTAACACAATTGGATTAGAGATGTTTTTAAGTCTTCAGTTCTTTATTGCTAACTTTATCAAATTACATGCCCAGGGGCTATGGCTGTGGCTCAGTGGCAGACAGCTTGCCTAGCATGCCTGAGGCACTGGGTTTATCCTCAGCACCACATAACAATAAACAAATAAAATAAAGGCATTCTGTCCATCTATAGCTACACAAAAAAATTTTTTTTTAAATTACATGCCCAACTCTTGAGTATGGAAATGCCTATCTGATCACATTCTCATCAACATTTAGTATTATCATTTTTTTTTTCCAGTTCTGGGGATGGAAGGAACCCAGGATCTC